GCGCCATTAGCGGAGGCACGCTCACGCTGGAGATGGACGGTGGGGCTGCGGGCCATGGGTAGGGAAGGGGGTACGGGGAGGTGTGAGGCGAGGGTTGTGGGCAGATCTGTGCCACTAGCGGAGGCGGGCTCACGCTGACGTGGCGGCTTGTGGAGACTGGAGCTGGTACTTCGCCGAGATGAAATGCGAGCTGACGCTCGGTGGATGGAGAAGGGGGTCTGGGGCTGGCGACATCCGGGGCGCGGCCCAGGCTTGCTGAAGGCTTTTTGCTGCGACCTAACTGCCGGAAGCCAGTCTTCGTCGGAGTGGTGGTTAGCTCGGGCCGTGAGTACGGGACGCTGCGGCCCTGGCTCGCTTTATCCGCGGCCTTGGATGGAGGAGTAGAGCTTGGAGGCGCCCCTGTTTGGAGGGAAGTATAGAGGGCGAGGAGATGTTGTGCTGATTGGATAGATGGTGTAATTACTGATGATGAACTGGCCGTGTTAATTATCTGCGCGTGCTCCTCCCGAAACTTGTTAATAAATCATCACTAATTAGGTCCCCAGTGCATCTACCAAACAAGGAAACATGAAAAAGATTAACCCAGTAACTTAGTTTTGGGAAGCTTTTTCTGCAAGCATCTGAGAAAACGAGCGCGTCAGATTTCGCTCACTTGATGACGTGGCAAAGGGATCTCATTATAATATTACCGCCCCTTAATCTGTTAAGTTTACACCCACAGCACCATTATTCTGTTTTCGCAAGCGACAACGGTGTACTAGTTCTAATGCCATAGCGAAAGTTTGAGCAAAACATGCTAACTGTTCTGTCTTTGACTGCACAGGTGAGCACAGAACACTGTTTAAAGTCCCAGTCTCAGAGGAGACAAGAGAGCAGTGGATTTATTGATTTATTTACTGTATATTGCTGCTGCCTGCTACACAGATCTAAAATAAACATGCAATTTATTTCCCTACTGTTTATCTTCACAGACATAACTGACTGGTTTTGTAACTCGTGTGTTTTTAACGTAAACTTGTGTGTGAATGAGAACTTAGTTTAGTACTCACATGCTGTGACAGCCGCTTTCTGTCTGTGCTTCGGATGTGTGCTCTCAGAAAACCGTATATCAGAAGTTTAAACTCATATGGTTTAAAACGCATGATTTCAGCGCTAAACATGATAACCAGAACCAAAACATATGTTTGTTAGCAGGTACGAGCTGTAATGGCTCAGCTTTATTCTGGAAAAGGGGGCAGGGAGCAGCAGCTCATTTGCATTTAAAGACACAGGCCCAAAAAACTGCGTGTTTCTGCTTCCACTCAAATTAGGCATTTTCAAAATGATATAATAAATTATGTGTGGAGTATTTTGAGCTGAAACTTCACAGACACATTCTGGGAACACCAGAGACTTATATTACATATTGTAAAAAAGAGGCATAATATGTCTCCTTTAAAAGCTGAAAAATTCCAAAGGAACGCCGTTATTTTTACAGGAAAATACAACAAAGAATATCGTTTACATGTAGTGCGTCAATTCTCTCTCTCTCTCTCTCTCTCTCTCTCTCTCTGTGTGTGAGAGAGCTACGGCGAGCACCGTTACACTAGAGTTTACGGTACGTCAAATACAGGTGCGCTGCACATCCATTGAGATGAACTGAAAAATAGCACAGATTGCTTGAAGGAGAGTGAAACTCTGAAGCGCTCAGTCAGAGTGTTCGGTGAGTGAAAATATATCTGTGCTAAACTTATACTTAGCCTCCAACTCACACACTGGTGAGTAAAATCTGAGAATTTATTAGCCATTGGCTAATATTAGACATCGTTTAAGACATTTCTTTTAGTTTAACTTGATTTACTAAAATAAAACTGAAATAAAAATGAATAAAAACTACATAGACAACAACAAAACAACAAACAAATGTCAGAAATACACAACAAAAATACAACAAAACAAAACTTAAAACTTAAGTTAACATGAAAGCAGAAAATATAAAAATCAAATCAAATTCAACATTTTAACAAAAACCATAATAATATCTCAGTGATACTAAAACAACACTGCATCAAGTTGAGCTAAATTAAAATGAAAAATGTTGCCTTAGCAACTAGATGAAAAAAAGTATGTTGTTTAATTTATTTCAGACAACGTTTATTTAATTTCAACGTTTAGCTTTAACAGTTTTAAAGTGATAATAATATGATACATATAATCATATAATTATAATATACATGTAATTTTGTTATTAAGTAAATGCTCAGATTTCCCTTGTTATGTGTGCCATTGTCTTTTTAAAATCATGCTTCTGTTAAAACATTCTCTTATTCATCATTTGTAACAGCAAGAACAGAAACTGCACGTGTTCTGATCATGATTGTGTAAGGAAACAGCATATAGCGAAAGGCCAATGATATTCAAACACTAATTCATGTCAAGCGCAAAGGGAGCAGACGCATATGCAGACAGTATTAATTCCACCCCACAACTGTCTATGAACTTTCTTTGACCCTCTCCATTTAAATGCACACAAACCCAGACAGACAACGAAACCATCTCCCTTCCCTTCTCTTCCCTCACTCTCTTCCGCCAGAAGCCAGCGCTTTGATTGCATATCATGAAAGCAAGTATGTATACCTTATGCCCAAGGTCAGGATAACAATGCATAAAGGTCCGATCTCCATATCCAATAGATTGTCTTACAATGGGGCATTTCACTTTAAACTTAAGATATTTATTGAAGATGCTTACAGGGATATATTAAGTCATAGGTATTGATTTTTATTTTTATATATATATATATATATATATATATATATATATATATATATATATTTATTTTATTTTTTTTTTTCAAAAGAT